AATATTTATTTTTTAGTTTTCGGTGGACACAACATCTTTCTTTTATTTTTATGTGGTGCTGAGGATCTAACCCAGTGCCCCTCGCATGAAGCGAACTACCACTTGAGCCACATCCCCAGCACCCCCAGCTTATTTTGTATAGGGCTGGGGGGTGGGTCTCACTGAATTGCTTAGCACCTTGCTTTTTGCTGAGGCAGGCTTTGAACTCGTGATCCTCTTGTTTCAGCCTCCCGAACCACTGGGATTACAGGCCTGTGTCACCGCGTGCAAACCACCTTTTGGTTTTATCTTAAAAATTACCTGTAGTCATTTCTTCCTGGTTTTAGTGTATGTATTTGAAGCAGTTCTCTTCTGGAAATAAACTTGATGCTTCTAATCTGAGGTGAATTTAGGAATTCAAGTTTATCAAAATTATAAAGATCTTAGGTACATCAAAGATGGATTTCTCATATCTGAGTTGTGTCCATCTGTGTTTTTCCAAAATTTACTTATATAACTACTTTCAGTTTTATGTGTCTCTGAAAGATTGAGTTTGTTGGCTATCCGAGTTCCCTGTGTATTGAATGTTCTTATAAAGTTTCACTATAATGTTCACTATATAACATATCCAAATACATTTTTACCAAGATATTTTAACAAAATCCATATTTAAATAAACATTTTCCAATCAACAAGAAAAAAAAAAAAAAAAAAATCTTCCCTTGTTCTAGGACACAGGGTAGGATACATTGGTAATGTCTTGTATATAAGACATGTACTTTTCTGTTTATCAATTTCTGAATCTTTATCATGTTTTCTTTTAGTATGTGGTTTAGAAATGTGGGGTACCTCATCGTTTCAAATACTGGCTCACAACTCTAGCTCCCATGATAATTTATCATATTAACTCTTTTATTTTCTCTATGTCTCATCACTATTGAACATACCATTTTATATATTCTAATATTTAAAAAAAATTTACTTATTTATTTTCCTGTCTATTGTCTCTTTCCCATTAGAAAATAAATGTCATAAAAGCAGAGATGAGTCTTTTTGTGTTTATTATTCTTTCCACACATAGAAAGAACTGATGCATGGGTAGTCCTCAGTCAGTGAATACCACAGGCGACCAGGTTGAATAAATGCCAAGATACATGAAGAGATAAAAGTGCATAAAAATTTAAGAGAGATTACTCCTTAACTACACAACTAATAAATAAATGAACAAATAAAATCTGGTTTACCTTTATGTCCTCGAGTTTCTCCTTGCATTTTTTGCACAAATTCAACATTATCCTCAAACTATGTATTTATAGATGAGTGACATAAACACATGATCTATAAAACCTATAAGACCTCTCTTGAAATTTTTCCAATAAAGAAGTATTTTTTTTTAATCAATAGTTTAAAGATCCAGAATATAGGTGATTTCATGAGGTGAAACAAACTGGAAAAAAAAATTAGGAGAGCTATCCAAGGTGCATAGTTATTCTTTCTACTCACGTTCACACACAGGAGCACTGTTATTCCAAATGCTTTTCATTTCAGCCATGACACAATGACTAGCAGAGTTGCCTTTTAATCGAAACCTTAAGAAAATAAATAAATAAATAAATAAATAAA